TATAATGTCCTTTGCTTCTTTTATATGTTCATAATATATCCCATCTGGTCCTGCGGCTTTCTTGTTTTGTGTTCTTTTTATAGCTTTTAATACTTCTGCATGTGAGATTGGTTGACATGCCCTGACGTCGTCTGTTTGGGGGCTGCTGGTGGGTGTATTTTGGCTAAGTATCTTGGTGAAATGCTGTTCCCATATCTTTATATTTACTTCTTGTGGCATTTGTTTCTTGGTTGTTTTGGTTGCCACAAACGGGTCTTTCTCGGCTTCTTCGGCTATCATTTTCCCTTCATTTTCGATGTGTTCCGTTTTCTTACTTTTTATCAGTGCTTTGTATCTTTTTCTTTTTTCTGCATATTCTTTTAGTTCGTTGCTATTCTGAGTTTGCCTTGCTCTGTGTAGTGCCTTTATTGTTGCTTTTCTCATATTGTAACATTCTGCATCGAACCATATTTTGGCCTTCCTCTCTTTGGCTGTTGGGGCAGCCTTCTGCAGTATTTCAGTCATCTTCCATGCGGCATCGTCGATTTCCTTTTGTTCTATTATTTGCATGATGTCCTCTTGCTTTCCCAATATGTATTTTTGGATTCTTCTTGTTTTTTCAGGGTGCTTGTTTCTGTTTTCATTTGCTGTTCTTTGCCCCCATATTTGAATCTTGTGCTTATCGGTAGGTGTTTCCTTAGTGGTGAAGTTGATGATGTTTTTATTGTTTGTTGTTCTATTTCTATCTCGTTTCCTTTCTTGAACACGAGGTCAATACAGCTGCAGTTTTAGGTTATGTCGATACAATTCAAGGTTATCGGGATCAAGAATGAACCACGGATCTCTTCCAAGCTGTGTTATTGGATCAGATTAGCAACTATGCCATATCTTTCGTGAATAATAAGAATGTAAATCTACTGGGCGATGACAGTACGAGTGGAATTTTCGAACCGAAGAAGGACGAAGTGACGGGAGATTAGAGAAAACAGTATACTGAAGAGCTTCATAACTTATTGCGTGTACATTTTTTGTGGGAAAGCCAGAGGAGACCAAGACATAGGTGGGTGGATAATATTAAAAGGGCTCTTAGAGAGATGGAACGGGGTGACATGGGCCGACATGGCCTGACTCAGGGCTCAGGATAAGAACCAATGTGGGCTCTTGTACCTCTTGTATACAAGGTAAGACACCTTCGTGTTCCGTACAATGTAGGGAATTTCCTGAGTAGCTGCGTAACTGGCGGCATCTGAAATAAACGCTCAGCTCCATGGAGTTATTTAGTTAGTTAAAGTAATTGCGGCGCCCACCGTCAGATGTCGGGAATACATGTTTCCTTTTTCTCGATTGTTCTCGATGTTCTCGATAGTAGTTCCACATCCCACTCATCGAGCTAATCAAACTGCGATACGTGGGTTAGTGGGTTGAGAGCGGTTGAGAGTAGGAAGTTAGGTGTTGCATGTTGTGTTTCGATTATTTAATTGTCGTGTAAATATCAGCAGTGCCCCGAAAGAGAAATCAGGTTCGTGTTTGGCACGAAACTGTGACATTGGGTATGTACAGTCGCGTTTTTTATTACATTTTCATTCTAGGAAAACAAATCTGTTGAGTATTCTACCTACCAATTGAAATGAGTAAACACAGAAGATTGAAAGTTCTTACTGCTTGAGGTCGAACTTCCTTCCTACAGCCTCACAGGATTGCATACAGTCAAGTCATTTGTAACATTATCTCCTTAAATTAACAACAGTATTTATAATTGACAACTTAGAAATATTTCAGATAAACTCGGAGATTCCTGCCATCAGTATGAATCACAAACGTGATCTTCACAGCCAATCAGAAAGGAACCTACTTTTCTGGAGTGACACTTTGCTACAAATTGAATGATTTCAGCAGCATTAAGGGAATCTGCTTTGACTAAAACTGTCTACTCAGTTTATGAATTTGTATTGCTAATAAAATATGAACAAACTGTAATCATGGGTTTGAGTGTAAATCTTATATAGGCATATGCATTTGTATGTATACATATACAATGCACTCATAAAATAACCTGCAAGAGTAAATCAGAAAGTTTACTGCAGAATATTCATAACTGTTTCTGGAACTGATGTTGCTACTGAATGCATGTGTAACTGTAATCATGGAACTTCCCAGTTGATGTAGTGATTTATTTGACCTTCACTGTTTATTTGTCTTTCACCTCAATTGGCATAAATTTGTCTGCAGGTTTGTGCCAGATCTGTGGACTGACAAAGTTGAGAGAGAAAGAAGTGGTCCTTTTCCCTGTTAAGTTGGAAAGTAATGATTTATAATTTAGATTGGACAACTGACCTAAGCAAAATTTGGCTAATGATTACTGGCTTCATGGGCAGTGCTTTAGTTCTTATCACTCAAGGGGCATATGAAAGAATGCTATCAAGTAGTACCATCATGTAACCAGTAATACCTACAGGGAAAAGCAGTTGTAGGATTTTGTTTTAAGCTTGAGGGTAGTTTTGTTTAGATTTGCTTTCATTTTACTTGTTCTGCATTGTGTAGTTTTATTCTTCATTAGGTTGTATTATTTTAGGTTTTATTGGTACAGTTTAGAAAAACATGTATAAATGATGCTAGTAACAAATTAGGGCAAATATATTGTGACATGATGCCTGAAAGCTGGAGTAGTGAAGTCAGAATAGATGTTCACTGTTAGGCAAGGACTCTGTAAACACATTCCTATGGCAACGAATATGCTAGTCACAATTGAATAACTTGTCGCTATGCAACAGCACTATAAACATGCCTTCCCAACAACATAGAGGCTGTGTTTTCTGTGTGGTCTGTGCAAAGTGGTTATAAAGAAGAGTGCAGTTGCGGGGTCAAATACTTCCACTGTGACCCTGCGAGTCATAGGAGGTGACGAAAAGGGAAGTCTCAGTTCTGAGACAGTAAAATATGGTCGCGAGTCCCAAGGGACTCGGACCCGAGTAAGACTGTGCTGGCAAGGGCCAGCAGCATATACAAAAGACAGACCCGTCCTCTCATCAGAGAAGGCGCCCCACAGAAACAAGACCGTAACTGTCAAACAATAATAATTAATATCTGGTCATGAGCCCCAAATGGGGCTCGACACCAAGACTTAGACTGACCGTCAGTCGCAATATGACTTTGACTTTGACTCTGAGGAGGTGGGGTCAAATACCTCCACCGTGACCCTGCAATTCATAGGCGACAAAAAGGGAAGTCTCAAATATGAGACAGTAAAATACTGTCGCGAGTCCCAATGGACTCAGACCCGAGAATGACTGCACTGGCAAGGGCCACCAGCATATACAAAAGGCAGACCCGTCCTCTCGTCAGAGAGGGCGCCCCACAAAAACAAGACCGTAAATACCAAAGAGTAATAAGGGCTCAACACCAAGATTTACTAACTGACTGACCGTTATTCACAATGAGACTTGGACTTGGAATAGAGTTTGTTGAGTATCGAGATGCCAGCCTCCCTGGATATGAGCTTGGGAGCAGAGGAATTGAATTGAGTCAAGTTTTCAGAATTGGCAGCTGCAGAACAGTGGCAAGAAGGGAATTAGGCTACGAAAAGAATACTTCATGTGCGATTTGAAGAGAGAGAGTGCATGTGTGCATGTGTGTGGCTGTAATCAGCAGTGGCGCTGTAATTGCCTGTAGTCCTGAGTTATGTGTGTAAGGTGTCAATAAATCAATCATCCAATAAAAAACCTGTCTGTAAGTCATGCCCCCCCTTGCCTACTTGTGATAATATTGTCAAGTTTTTTAGAACCTGATGGTGGTCATAGTGTTTATACAAAATGGAACACAGTTGTAATAGGATTACTTTAAGATTAGGTGTCTTAAATTTGACTAGTAATATGTTGTGTGTAGTGTCGTGTTGTCGCATATCCCAGACTTTTGACATGATCCATCAAGTCTAGTGGACTGTATAGATGAAATGTAATACCAGTGGCAGAAAAAGGCAGTAAACATCTGCATCATTTTAGGCATTTGCCTATTTTCTGGTGTTGTGCATAGACCGTTTCATTTCAAATGATGCTTTGGGGCTCATCAAAGCTGGCGTAGGACGGACACTGCCACTTTTTAGTTTGTATTATAAGAACAGCAGCAAAACAAAGTTTGAACGCACTATAATTGGTATATATATAACTACATTAGGATGGTGTGAAATCTGTGGGTAGTATTCTTAAAGCGGAGAATAACAACAATTGCAATGAAGTTATTGAAAGTCTCTAATGTATTTGCACTTACAGGCACCATCAAATTAATTCAACCAGAGTTTGAACTTGTAACCATCTGTGTACAAGTCCAGTCTGCTTGCTTAAAAGCTGAATTGACAGTAACTGTGAAAAGTACTGTTTTCTCAGCTGTTATGTGGTACAGTCTGATAGGTATGTCAGAAAATATTCTGTCTCCATCTTCAGGGTGAAAGAGTAATACCAGGAAGCAACAAGCAGAGCTGGAGGCATGAATTTTGTTTGGAAAGAACTGACATGACCAGACCATATGAAAGACTCAGGTGTACATGGGACGATAATATTAAAATGGATTGTAAAGATATAGGATAGGAGGTTGTGGACTGGATTAATTCGGTTCAGGATAGGGTCCAGTGTCATGCTCCCATGAACATGGGAGACATCCTGTTGGTTCCAAGAAAGGCAGAATATTTCTTGTATAGCTGTGTGACTGTTAGCTTCTGAAGAATGATTCTACTTTATGAATTTAGTTGGTTACTTATTGTTTATAGTATGGTTGGTATCTCCTAGTGCCAGTTATTATGTCGACAGCACTGATGATAGATCATTTAGGTTAGTAGAAGGGATTGACACCATATCAGAAGGGCTAAGACACTACAAAATATTAAAAACAATTTAAAATCTAGACAGCATGCAGTCTTATGGAATTTGATGCCATATAGTCTGGCAGGTGGTAAGCAGTGCAATGTTATGTTGGTACATTTTTCTTCTAGGACAAATTAATCTCATTTTACTTATCAACTTATGTCATATGTCCAAATAATGAACCCATTTTGCTGTGGTCCATTAAGTCAGAGTGGCCCACAACTGAACACAAAAGATATTAATGAAGGTATGTGAGAGTTCACATTTGCTGGGAGCCAGTATCTTTTTTCAATTTTGAGAAAATATGCTGTATGTGCATTGTTTTAACCAATTGTGTGGTATGTTGGGTGAGCCATAGCATTGTACATTGTGTGATGTGTGATTGTTCTCTTTTGATAGGTGCATTGTGAAGGAAAATGTCTATGTGTTCACCTGATCAGAATTTACATACACCATATAAATTAAGTGGGAAAAAAATGAGGAAAAGTTTGAGCTTCTCGTTTATGTCAAAGTTTGGTAAGTGTCATGCTTTACAGATTGTTATGACTCATACCTTTTAGTCATGTTCGTAGTTTCTTCTGAGCACCTACTAAGTGTGCTCAGTCCATGTATATGCATGAAACTGCTCAAGAACCACTAGTCATATTTATACAAAATTTCATATTGGAGAATTTTATGAAAAACTGTGAAGTCATTTCAGTTCTTATTCATGTCAGACATGTTTAACCATGAAATTACATGAACACCTACAAGCATGTCTGCACATCTCACTAAGTACTGGAGAGAAAAATGTTTGGTACAGTAGTTTTAGAGAAACATGATTCACACATTTTATTGTCTATACACTTTCTTCATAAGTTTTTGAGATAATTAAAGTTTATATTATGAGAACATTACCTAACATGCACATTCAGCAGTCAATAGTGGCCTCTAGAGCACAGTCATGATTGTAAAAAGACAAGACAAAACTAAAGACTCTACCGGGTTAGACTGGATTAAAATAGGATTTTGTTCTTTTTATGTAGTGCTACATTACAATAGGAGCACTCTGCTACAAGCAGTAAGGTTGTGGTTACAATTCCAAATGAAGTCACTGGATTTTTCAGTTGAACTAATTCATCCACACTATGGTCCTGAGGTCGACTCAGCCTCTAACAGAAATGAGTACCAGGGATCTTCTTGGGGGTAAAGGGTGGCAGTCGTTTATGGCTGACAACCTCACAGCTATCTGTGAGCTGATTGTCTAGAAAATGTGAGAGCCTCAACATCTCACAGTGCTTTAGGCCTTAAAGGTCTGTTACAGGGATAGTTTTGCCCTTTTTTGGACAATATGACTTTAAAGCATACATTAACAAATTTTTATATTTACCACTTAAGCCTTACTACTGATTGATTGTTCATTTAGTATATAATTTTACTTCTTGAGCATTTGAGTGTCATGAACAATGAATTCTTGCATGCAGATTTAATGTTTGTTTAATATAAGGGAAGAGTTCATTATAATCATCTCTCCATTTATAACTACTGCTTCTTGGTGCTGCTGTTAAGTGTACACTCTGTTATTTTGCAATCTTTTTCTGCCATCAAATCATAGATTTTACAGTTTCTTTTTCTAATCTAGGTTCAAGGAAGTGGAGAGCAAACAACCTTCAGTTGGCACGAGAAAATGCCAGATTAAAGAAAGCTATACAAAAATGGACCCGCCTTCACGTAGAGAATTCTCTTAGATACAATGTTTTGGAAATGTCATGGAGGCATCGTGGGGTAAGTAGTGTCACACTTGATAAAATGGTTTTTGTGACTTTATGTCATGGCTCCCAAGTATTCGAAATATTGTACAAGGTCATAGCAGCAAAACATATGTGGATAGAAAGGTAAAGTTATCCTGTGCTTAATTAATTAAGCACTGTGGCATGAAGACATGGGGGAGTGGAGGTATAGCTCCACCATTCTCGATCCCAGCACTGAATGGAGATGAGTAGTCAACTTCACACCCCGTGTTTATGTCACAGCATGCTTGACTACAGGCACATACGAGGTCTGACAATAAAGTTCGCTTACTCACCCCCGTGTGCTTTGCTGTGGCACCTGTGGACAGAAACCTCAGTATGGTTTGATGATGTTGGCATATCAGCATTTTGCAGGTGTGTTGTTGCTGATCTTTGGCAGTCTCTTTCCGAGTGTGTTTTGGTATGCTGTTGTGAGAATGCCAGAATGAACATCAAATTTCTTGTTAAACTTTGCAAGAGTGGAAGTGAAATCAGAGAGATGTTAGTGCAAGTTTACAGGGATAATACTATGAAGAAAGCAACAGTTTGCAAGCGGGTAACATGTTTTTCTGAGGGAAGAGAAATTGTCACTGACAAGAGATCAGGATGGCCAGCAACGAGCAGAACCGAACATTGCAAAAGTTAATCAAATTATGCGTGAAAATCGTTCACCGACTGTGTGGAGCATAGCAGAGCAAGCAAACATTGGCAGAGAAACAGTTAGGAAAATTATAACTGAAGATCTTTGCATGATGGTGCTCAGAAATGGTCCAAAAGAGCTAAGGAGCTCAATAAAGAACACTGTCTGTGGGGGAATTTTTAGCTAGTAAACAAATAACTGTGCTGAAAAACCCTCCCCATTCACCGAATCTACCCTGAATGACTTTTACCATTCCTGAGGATGAAAGAAATATTGAAAGGAAGGCATTTTTATGACACTGATGACATCAGGAGTAATATGACTGCAGCTCTGAAGGCCATTCCACAGAACCAGTTCCAAAATTGTTCTGAAGGGTGGACTAGGTGCTCGCATTGGTGCATAGCTTCCCAAGGGTGGTACTCTGACGATGACCACAGTGATATTCAGCAGTGAGGTGTGTAGCACTTTTACCATGATGAGTTCACAAACTTTTTTGTTAGACCACGTTTGTATTCAGTTTGCAGATAGTTTCTTAATTTGATCTTCTTCTCTGAAGCTAATGTTGTGAGTGTAATACCTACTTGTTTTGAGGCTGCACCTAGCAGCTACCTCCTTACAGCAAATTTGGATGTCCACCATGGTTTTCCTTAGTGACTCCTTGTGCCTCATTATATCTTGATTGGCTTCATCATTGAAGGTGATGTACAGTGCTGCCTCTTGAATGGTGTTATTATTTATACTCACTCATGTCATTTATCTGCCCTGAAATCCACATTGGAGTAACACATTTTAGTTGTTGCATCTTTGTTTCTTGGGAACCATAGTGTTATGATAATTTGAAACATTTCAGCATTGGTTCTCAAATTAAAAAGGACAGTACTTGTGATAGTGCCCTTAGATAGTGTAGTAATGCAAAATAATTCCACCATTAAATTCACCAAATTCCATTATATTGTGACATGTGGACCAATTTTTAGGCAGTGACTTGGTAAACATGTTCCTGCGCCAACAAATATGCAGGCAACAGTCAGGTAACTTCCATTGCTATGCCGTGGCACCATAAATACAACAGTAGAGGAAGCAGTGTTTTCTCTGTGGTTCGCATATATCCATTACTGGGCTGTGGACATGTTCTCCATGAGGTCCAACCAGAGTCTATATAATGAGAAGCCCACAATGATTGTCAGTTGAAAATCAGAAGCTCAGTTGTCTGCCAAAAGTCAGCCTGTGAAGAGAAGACTTAGCATGTGAAAGGAATAACTTACATGTGCTGTAATTACAGTGAAACTGTTATAAATCCATTGCCAGGATGTGACTAGTCGAGACTGAGAAGACTTGACATGTCCTAGTGTTTTGTGACGCAGATAGCTTAGCGATAGTGTTATTGATTTTGAATAAGATAGATTGTAAAAGAAGGTGTTAATCCAGTTACCAAACTGAACCCTGTCTTATAAGTTACCCATACATGTGACAATATAAATATTTATGATTGTAATCACATGGGCATATGGCCTATATATGTGGCCTGATTTGTTATGGACATTTCTTTTCTCTTCTTTTAGTGTATACACTTATATATCTTATTACAGTTGTGTGTATTGGTTTTATTTGTGTTATTCCTCTCTGTTGGGGTGATCTTGGCAGTGATTGTGGATGGTAGGGAATTCAGTAGGAATAGGCTCTGGACTGGCCTGTATCTTGTATCATTTCTGATTTCAGAATAATTTAAATCTTTCACTGTCCTGATTCAGTTTCAAGTCTACAAGAAAACTATCAGGTTCACTGGATGCTCCCAGTATTTCATTCCCATCATCATTTTCCTCATTCTTCTCATCCACATAAAACCAGCGTGTCCTCTTCATCTGATTATACGAGGGGTGTTCAAGTTCTAAGGTCTCCGATTTTTTATCTCAGGACTGGGAGCAGATAGAAACATGCGGTTTAGTTTAAAATACATGTGCACTCTTTGTGAATGCGTGACAGAGATGGCAGCACTGTACAGCACACAGAACTCTAGTGGTGGTGGCGAGAGTGAGAGTGTTTTTGATACTTAAAATGGCAACGTTTTTGTTACAAGAACAGCGAGTAGTCATTCATTTTCTCCATTTGCGTGGCACGACACCCATTGAAATTCATCGCCAGTTGAGTGAGACATGTGGTGATGGTGTCATGAATGTGAAAAATGTGCGTTCGTGTGTGTGACAGTTCAAAGGAGTCCGAACGACATGTGACAATGAACCAAAACAATCTCGAACTTGCACCAGCTGGTCTGACAGCATGTTTGAGCGAGTTGAGAAAGTTGTTTTGGAGGAGGATCGCCGATTGAGTGTGGAAAACATCGCCTCCAAAGTTGGCATTTCCGTGGGATCTGTGCACACAATCCTGCATGAAGACCTGCGAATGCGGAAAGTGTCCTCCAGGTGGCTGCCACGAATGCTGGCGGACGACCACAAGGCTGTGCCCATAGCAATTTGCCAGGCGATGTTGACACGTGATGAAGGCATCAATTGTGACAATGGATGAGACATGGATGCCGTTTTTCAATCCTGAAACAAAGCGCGATTTTCCAGTGGTCAAAACAGACTCCTACAGAAGCGTTCATAGGGCCATGGAATCATGGCGTCGACGTTGTGAAAAATGTGTATGGCTGCAGGGAGATTACGTTGAAAAGTGACAGAAGTTTCAAATTTTTTGTATGATTATTATGTGAGGAAAAAAATCAGAGACCTTAGAACTTGAACCCACAACGTATCTCAAATACTGAAACGTATATAATCTGAGTGGATCAGATCCAGTGTGCAGTGTCCATATCACATCGTGTCTATCATATTACCATTACATTCCCATCACATCACAAATAATACATACTGCTGTGTGAAAGTGCCCAGAAATTGTCCTGAAACCTCAATTAAACTGCAGGGAGGACTATGTGTGAACTCACTGACTCACCAAGTAAAGTTAACATTCCAGATGAGACCACTAATACATAAAAGCCATGGTTAGTCCATATTGAACACTTCCAAAGAGATTTGGAGAAGTATGAAAATATCTTCATTCTTGGGATCTCAGATGCTTTACCACCCTGACTCCCATCTCTGTGCCAGTCCATGAAAAGTGTAGTTCTGCACATTGTTGCAAGTCTCTACCAGTCTGTATGGCAACAGCAGGAACCTGAATAGCTTTACAAAATCTGCAGTAACCTATAAAATGTTCCTGTACAATCATGAAAGTATATGGGAAATATTTCACCGGCTGCAGCTGTAGTTTTCAGAAACACCTGTATTAAACAATACTGACCATATTTGCCAAAAATACTTTAGAGTTCTGTAATTATCATTAGATAAGGCTGCAGCTCCCCAGGGGTTTGTGATCTGTGCTTTGAGAAACCATGTCTCAGTATACAGTTTAGACTACTCTTGATTGGGTATAGGACCTATCTACTTTCTCATTCTGAACCTGGCAAGTGGGAAAATTTAGTATCTGTAGTGCAGTGTGAATGTTGGGAAGTTACTGAGCACTGAGTTGCTGGTGGCTTCTCAAGAAGCTAAGTTTTTTGGCTTGTTTGGTTGGTTGGTTTGTTGAGTTGTTAGTTTGTTACTTTGTTAGAGTGGTGTATCAAAAAGGACCTCCCCAGGCTTTGGTGGGTGGGTTGAAGAAGTACGATTTGTAGCCCTTGGTACCGTCAGCTTGGAAGATGTCTCAGGAACAGAATAAAAGTAACAAGATAAAAAATAGAGTACATAATATCTCTGAGAATCACCTAACTTTTCCATCTGTGGAGTTAGAAACACAACAAGAGAAACAACCTGTCTTAAATAAGAGACAAAGAAAGCCACCAGCAAACAGGCATGATTTTTTACTGTAACTGTATCTAATCAAAATAAGGAATATACTCTCCAAAGTAAATTTATTAGACAACAAGCAAATAAAATGAAACATAAGCTTAATATATACGATTCATTAAAAGTATTTCATCAAAACATAAGAGAACTACAAAACAAAACTGATGAATTGACCTGTATGCTATATAGTATGGAAATATGTCCACACATTATATGTCTTACTGAACATTATCTGGAAGGCCATAAACTTTCAATGACAAAAATTGATAACTATTATTTGGCTACGAGTTTTTCGCGTAAACATAATACAGGTGGTGGTGTTGGGATTTATTGTATAAATGACTTTACTTGTAATGTAATAGATATTTCAAAATACTGTGTTGAAAAGGTCATTGAGGCCTGTGCAATACATATGAATACTGGTAGCAATGCAGTTATGTTTGTGGGTATCTATCAATCGCCCAGTACTAATGTACAAGAATTTATAAAACAAGTTGACATGATTTTAAAGTT